CAGCACTGGTTTCCACACTGATAAACACATTTATGTTCTTTTTACTGCAGTGATGCGAGCGTCTGAATCCACTGTTGTTCTGTGATGAGAAGTTCAATGGAGGCGTGTAAAATCAGGAAATATTTGCCATGAGTCAGAGAATATTCCCCACATATGAACTTCTAAATAAACAGCAACAACGTCGTCTTTGCTGCCTGTTAGCAGAACAACTGCCAGAAGAACCTTAATAAACCAGGGTGTGTGTCGGCTTCACGGGACACAAACGCTGCTCTTTTAGTTTCTGAACTAGAACGACTCGAATACACCTGTTATTATTCTCACAACAACATTATTATTTCCTGTTGTTATTATTATTGCATACATACACTGAGCTGATACAGGAGTGATGAAGAAAACCGACAGCGTCTGACAGGCGCAGACAGCATCACTTATAATCCAAATCTGAGGATGAGATGGTTCGTCAGTTTTATTTTCTTATCCTGACCCGTATTAAACTGGCCCCTGCTGTAAACATCAGGCGCTTCCTGCAGCTTGGCTCTGATTATGAGGAAGCAGCAACAAACTGAACGTCAGTCTGCATCGCTTTCAGGTGAGAGCCATAGAGAGTCAAACTTTCCGGTGCGCTGGGATGTTTTGTAGCAACCGCTGTTTCAGAAACAACCTCCATGCGCCTTAACAAGGTGTTAGTCATCAGCTGCTGGTTGTCACGGAAACACAAAACAGATCGAGGTCTCAGCTGGTCGGATGATTTATTTAATCTAAAACAGGCTGCTGTCGGCTTGGGACCGACGCATCAGCCCATCCTCCGTCTCAAACAGGCTCCTGTCTCTTTAAAAACATACTTTTCTCTGATTGGACAACTTGTGGAAGCCTGCAGAGGGGCACTACGTACCTACATGTGAGCTGTGCTGAATGATTTATGCAATCCACGACAGAAAGCATGACGCGCTTCAGAGCGGCGGTTTAAAAATGATTTCTTTCCTGCAAATCAAGTCAGGGGCGAGGGGGTGGAGCCTACAGCCGGGGGACGCAGACACTATTTCCTCAGGTGATCGAACACACCTGGAAACCCACGCAGACACGTGGAGGACAAACACACCCGAGTGCACCAAGCGTAACGCCGTCACATTTTCACGACCTTTAACCTTTTGATTCATGTTTGTGTTTGCTCTCATTCATCAGCTCACGGTCGATGTTTCACTGTCAGAGGGTAAAAACTCGTTTGGAGGACCAATCACATCGCTGCTCTTTATGTGTGTGTCTGTGTGTGCTGTCCAAAGCGCTGTGAGTCGGTGTAACGTTGAAGTGAAGTCGTCTGATTAAAAATGGTGAAAAGAACATGGACCCAAACGTCTTGGGTCGCAGCAGATGGCCCCGCCCCTCCCTGAGCCTGGTTCTGCTGGAGGTTTCTTCCTGTTAAAAGGGAGTTTTTCCTTCCCACTGTCGCCAAAGTGCTGCTCATAGGGGGTCATATGATTGTTGGGTTTTTCTCTGTATGTATTATTGTAGGGTCGACCTTACAATATAAAGCGCCTTCAGGCGACTGTTGTTGTGATTTGGTGCTTTATAAATAAAGTTGAATTGAATGAATATTACTAATAACAACAACAACAATAATAATAATAGTGCCATGACGATTTAAAACAAAACCCTGGCGCTGCAGCGAGCAGGACAGGAAGTGAGATACACAGCCTGCTTTAACGTCAGTGCACAACATACAAAACAAACCAAAACAAAAATCACTTTTTGGAGCTTCAGGGCTTCCGTAGAAACCACAGAAACATTCCTGTGCGTCGCTGCGGTTTGAGCAACAGGATTCCAAAACATCTCACAACAAACAGGAAACGCATCACAGCACATTACGGGGTTAACAGCAGACGTACCGCAGGGCTCCTGCCATGGCTCAGCGCTGATGATGATGATGATGATGATGATGATGATGAGGAGGAGGAGGCAGCTGACCTGTTCTTCCTCCTTCAGGGATTTTCCTGTGGATGGTAAGCGAAGGGTTAATGACACAGCTCGGTGCTGATGGAGTCACATCAGTGGGAATTTCCACCCTCCTCCTCCTCTCTGATGTTTGGGGACGATCAGGGAGCTCAGGCCCAACAGTCCGCCTTCACCACAGCCTCAGTTTCACAAGGTTAGCTTAGCACAAACACTGAGAACCAATGGAAACTGTTAGCCTAAAAACACAACAGAGCCCCTGAAGTGTGCCTGTCAGCTGAGAGGAGGAGCAGCTCTGGAAAGGTCACATTTACATCTGCTTTCATGTGTTTTTGGAAAAATGTTTTTCAAAAGTTTTTCAAGCTACTCAGAAAAATTCATCTTTCAAAGAAAATGATGAATTTTTTTCAATGATTTGCAAACCAAACGAGGCATTTAGGCGCCGTCAGAACTTTCTGTTCTACAAACAGACGAGGAAGACTTTCTGAACTTGTGACTCTCCTCGGCCTGATTTAAACTCTCCTCAGCTTCTTTAATCCGCTTTGATATTTTCACGTCTGTAAGGCAGAAATTCTCCTTTCATTCATTTTTCCACAGCGGACAGAAAAGTCTCATTTTAATGCAGCACCATCAGCACCATCAGCACCACACCTGTGCTCCGCGAGCATCACGTGATTGTTGGCTGCTGTCTGTTGTATATTTGTGAGTCTGTGAGCACCTTGAGGCGACTGCTGTTGTGTTTGTGCTTTATAAATAAAACAGACAAGAAGATTAAATCTTGTGAACATCTCTTTTGATCATATTTACAGTAATGACGTCTGCGGATGTCATCAGAGCGCCTTAAAGGAAAACTTCAGGGTCAGAGTTCAGTGTCATAACGATGAACGTTCCCTAACCCTGCAGATGTCTGACGTCAGCACGGCTGTTTCACGGGTTCGTTTTGGGGAAATGTGCGAGCAGAGCCACACGCGTTGGATCCAACGTGAACACCTGGATGGAGATGATGCAGGTGTGGTGGAGCGCCGACGGCAGGGCTGGCGTTCAGCACGCTTCCTGTTAGAAAGGCCTTGTTTCCTCTGGAACGTCTTTCAGGTACATCTGAGACGCAGGTGGGCCACGCTGAGACCACCACACGCCACACTGGAAGTCCTCACTCCGCGGCCCCTCGGCAGGCTTCCGGAAACTGGCGAATCTGAGGGCTCGGTGTGCGGTAAAGGATCATTTTGACCTGTGAAGCAGCTCAAACCCCAGGAGCCGAGCGGCTATTTAACTGGATTCTTTGCGCCTGACAACAAACACGAGCCTGGATTATAGAAGCAGAACGAGCCGGTTTAAACATCACAGCGCAAGCGCAACACCTCAACACGTCATCTGTATCAAACACAACCAGCGCTGAAACAACCCAATAATCGATCATCAATAATCCTCAGTGATCGAGTAACAGCTGCTCACGTCACCCCGAATGTTTGTCACGCGAAAATGAGGCACATTAAAGTCCGGCTGTGGCGGAATCACCTGTTACAGGTTCCAGCGCTCGGTTATTATTTTCTTTTATTGATCAGCAGTTTGACTTTAAATGAAGTTAAAGAAACGTTACCTGCGTGCAGCTCTCAACGTTCCCTTCAGTCTGGAAACTCCAAACTGGATTCAGCAACAAGACCAAGATCACAACCCCGAGGTCACGTCCTGCTCCCGATTTTCAAAATAAAGGTAAGAACCCTGCACCTCTGATGTGAAGCGAACAGGAGAGAAATCTGTGTGAAAAACATTCAAACGAGAAGAGAAAAAAAACAACAAAAAAGGAGGACAATAAAACAATAACAGTCTCAAAAAATATTCAGGAAAATTAAAAAAACAGCATTTCAAATGTTTTTTTTAATTTATATATCAAACATTCATATTATCTTAATTATTATTTATTTCCTCTGAACTCACCGACTGTAATACAGTCAGTTCAGAGATATCACTGTTTTATTTGAATTTTTAGATTTTATGTTTATTTAAAATTCTCCAGATAATTTTATACAAATTATTAAAATAATTAATTTAAGGAGAAAAGCAAAAAGATACAAACTTTTTTACACAAACAGAAAAATTAGAAATATAAACAAAAAAAGAAGCTTTTAATGCTTTGCATAAAAAAATAATTAAACTAAATTATATTTAACTATTTCACTATCCTTTCAAAATGTGCGGTAAAATGATGCTTTTGTTTTGATAATCAGGAAGTCATGTCCCGCCCTCCGCGACAAACTTGACTTAGCTCAGCTCGGTTGTCATGGTGACCGCAGGCAGGCAGTCAGATTGGAAAGCCCCAGAGCTGAAGGGGAATTCCGGCACCACGTGGCAAACTCTACCCACTGATTGGTGGACGGTAAAGGGGAGCCACGCCCACCCAGGCAGAAAAACAAGAAAAAAAACAAAAAGGAAACTTGTTTTTTAAAAAACGAATAAAGTTAAAAACTTTACAAAAATAGTAAAAACAAATGAACGATGATAGAGAGAAAAATACAAAGACATGAAAAATATTACATATATTCTTTTACTGCTCCTATACAGCTGTGAGTGTGTGTGTGCGCGTGTGTGTGTGTGTGCGTGCGTGTGTGTCTGTGCGTGTGTGTCTGTGTGTGTGTGTGTGATTGCACTCAGGTGTTATCACGTTCACAGCACTGTGGCATGAGCTGAGCCGGCCTGTGCAGGTCAGTCGGGAAAGTACCCTCTTGTGTATCTATGAAATCCCTGATTCGTCATCGCTCATCAGCTCAGGCTGAAAACGGCGTGGAGGGAGGTACACGCTGTTCCCCGCTCTCCACCTGGATCATGAATCCAGGTAAACGTCTCAGGTGTTTCTGCACCTGCAGCGAGTGCTGACGTCATGCTCAGCCGATGAACCAATCAGATTCTGTCTTCAGCTCGTTCTTCAGACCCGTGTCCATCCTTCAGATAGTTTTTCTGTACTTCAGCAGGTAAACTTTATCAGACAACACTGTCAGGACCATGAACAGCAGCCAGTGATGCAACACTGCCACCTTCAGGTCAAGCTGTGAGACGCCACCTGCACGTCCACATGTCAGTCACAGCAGGGAGCAGAGGCCATGCTGCGACAGCGCCCCCTGCTGGCTCCTCTGCAGCACTCCTTACATTTTACGACCCAACGTCACCATTTATTGACTTTTGGTGGTCAGAGTGACTCATTCTTCCTCTTCTGCATCACAAAGTTGATTTAATATTTATTGTTTGTTTATCAGCATGTAAACAAACAAACGTCTGTAACGAGCCAACATGTGCACACGAGCTCACTCCAGTGTGTGACGACCAGCTCTACACATCAAACACTTTGATAACATCGTCAAAGGAGCTTGGAAAGAAAAGCGTCTGGACTTCTTTAAGTTACTTGAAGACGTTTCACCTTCATCCGAGAAGCTCCTTCAGTTCTAAGGTCAAATGGTGGAGAGTCCCAGATTTAAGCCTAGTGGGAGTTTCCCCCCACAGAGGGACAAAAGGACCCCTGATGATCCTCTAATCACATGAGCCAAGGTGTGAAACTTGTCGGATGAAGGTGAAACGTCTTCAAGCAACTTAAAGAAGTCCAGACGCTTTTCTTTATAAGCTCCTTTGACTACGATGACCTGGATGACTGAGAACCTTCAGACTCGTTGATAACGTTGTTTTCTTATCAACCTGCAGGTTTGCCTCACAGCACTCGCTCCATCCAGCTTTTCAAAATGATTTGGCAACATGACAAAAACAACTGGAAACAAAACAAACTTCAGAGATTTTATTTTGACACCAATACAAATGAAACTTTTGCATTTTTTAAATGATTATTTTCCAACTGGACCTGCGGCCAGACCGGACCCTGCACCTCTTTGGTTCCTAAATATAAATCGTATTTGCACTGAAACAAACACTGTCAGCTGGAGACTGAACAATAAAGCTTGATTTAAAAAACGAATCGCATTCAGGCGTCACTTTGTTTGGATTTTATTTCTCTTTAACATAAAAACTCCACAGAAGGAACAAGTGTTTGACCCCGAGAGGCGAGGCTGCCAGGGGGCGCTGTGACGGCGAGCTCGCAGGGAACCGTCTGTGTTTGCATAGTTTGTAGTTTCCACAGCAGGTTTCTGATTTTTCAGACATTTCAAAGAAGAAGAAACAACTTTTGGTCATTATCAGGAAATAAAAACTAAAGCTGGAATGAATCAGACGTCTTGACTGAACGGCACTTTATCGGCGCAGATTTCCCCTCATTTAACAAAAACGAACTTTCGTGAAACTTCAAATTTTTGAATAAATTTTGTTTTTTTATGTGCAAAGTGAAAAAAACTTTCTGCAGCTAAAGAGGAAATCTTCTAAATTAATCTACAGATTTCAGTGAAAAATAAATATCGTCTCTTTGGTTGAGTTTTTCCTGACTGAATGTTTTGGGTCTCGAGCTCCGGCGGCTGGACCGATGATGAAGTTTTCTCTGCTGTAAACGTCGGCGTTCAATTGGACATTTTTAAATTTCATGATGGCTGTAAACTTATTGCTCTTAATAAAGTGACTGTGGGCAGAAGAACATTAAAGCGACAGTCCTGAGGCACATGCGCACGGCGTCACAGTAGAAGAAGAAAAGCACGACACATGGTCAGAAGTATGTGGACACCCACAACGAACTGATCTGGGATCAGTGTTTGCAGCAGCAGACGTTCCCTCCACGATACGAACCGGGCCGTTAACGGAGCATCAGCCTGAGGGAGGCGACCTACAGACCACTGTCACTCGTCCAGAGTTCAGCCTCGCTTCAAGTTTTTAACCTTTCGACAGACAGAAAACGATTCATTTAATCCTGAATTTATAATCTGTGTGATCTGTGACAGCACCGATCCCAGCGTTCCCACAGAGCGCCGTCACTTTCCCACATTTACAGACATGTCCCGCAGCACGTCTCCAGGTTTATTCAGTGATTGCACCTGTTTCTAATCATCCGTGTTAAACCGACACGTCAGCTCAGTTTGTTCATGATTCAACCAGAAAACATTAATAAAACAA